GCTATGAACATGGTTGAACAGATGTCCTTGTTATATGAATGTGCTTCTTTTGGGTATATGCCTAGGAGTGGAATTGCTGGATCTTGTGGTAGACTCATTCCCATTTTCTTGAGGAGTTGCCATACTGATTTCCACAGTGGCTGTACAAGTTGGCACTCCCACCAGCAGTGGAGAAGTGTTCCCCTTTCTCCACATCCTCTCCAGCATAAACTATCATTAGTGTTTTTGATTTTAGCCATTCTGACAGGAGTAATATGGTATCTCATTTGCATATTGTTTTGATTTGCATTTCCCTGATGGCTAAGGATGTTGAGCACTTTCTCAGGTGTCTTTCAGCCATTTTAGATTCCTCTATTGAGAATTGTCTATTTAGTTCTGTACCCCATTTTTTAATTGGATTGTTTGGTGTTTTCGAGAATAGCTTCCTGAGTTCTTTTGGAGATCAGCCCTCTGTCAGATGTGGGGTTGGTAAATTACCCCTCATCCTTTTCCTGGTTGGCCTGGAACTCACAGAGTTCTGCCTCTGCCCCCTCCCCCCTACTCCAGCACCTCTCCTGGTTGATGATTGCTTCTGGTTTTGTTTGTTTTAGACAGGGTCTCTTCATTTATCCCTGGCTGTGCTGGAACTCCCTCTGTAGACCAGGCTGGACTCAGACTCATAGAGATCCACCTGCCTCTGTCTCCCAAATGCTGGGATTAAAGGTGTGCACTGTGATTACTTAATTGTGTTTATATTTGCTTTCTTCTAAGTAAAAAGTAGTAAAATACAACTACAAATGATGCTGGGCAATGTCAAAAGGACTAGGGGATCCCAAGGCCCCTTGACTGTATTTTGGCTGTGTAAATTATTATGATCCCTAGATTCCTAAAACGACAACAAAATATTCATGAGAATATTTTTTTTCTGCAAACAGTATTTAGATATGGCTCATGTTGATCACAACCTTGCTGATTCATGAAGTGAATTTAATTAATTTGTTTATTTGTTTATCGGGTCAGATTTTCACTATGTAGCCTTTTAAATTTTTAAAATTTCATTGATCTGTTTCTTTTGTGTGTATGTATATGGTGTGCATGCCACAGTATAAATGTTAAGGTCTCGGACAACTTTCAGTAGTCGGTTTTCTCCTTCTGCATAAGTCTTGGGAATTGAGCTCAAATAAGCAGGCTTGGTGGCAAGTACCTTTATCTCCTGAGCCATCTCACTAGCCTGGAGGTCAAATTTCAAAATGCCAGCAGACCATGTTTCACATTCAGACTGCAGTAGTATAATCTGTTGTAGTTAGCAACTCTTTGTGCATTACATAATGACACAAATTCAGAATTCATACCTTCCTCAGATCTGTTCAGTTATCCAGTTTGCTGTTAGCATCCACATATCATCATGGCACATTAAACAACTGAAAATATCTGTAGGAGTGTGCTGAGGGTGCAGCACAAAGGAAGTGCATGGGCGTAGCATGCCTGAGGTCAGTGTTCAGTGCTAACAGGAAAAAAAGAAAGAAAACGTGGTGTTGTGTTTCCAGGTTTTAAATCTTATAATAAATAAACACTGATATTAATTAGTTAAAGATTTTAGACAAAAATACATATTTTTTGTTTTATTTTGTTTTTTTGAGACAGGGTTTCTCTGTGTAGCTCTGTCTATCCTGGAACTCATTCTGTAGCTGAGGCTGACCTCAAACTCAAATTGAGTGCTGGGGTTAAAGCCCTGTGCTGGCACTACCCAGCCTAGACTATAATTTCTAAATCATTCTTGAGATTATCTTATTCAATGTATATATGAAAAAATTAAGAAAGCAATTAAAGTCAGTAGAAACTAAGAAGTTAAAGCCATCCCTACAGTGAGAGGCAGCAAGTGCTACAAGTGGAGCTAAAACCTAGATTTCTTTGTCTTGCTCTTCTCCACAATACAGTGTTGTTACTCTTTTTTTTGGGGGGAGGGGTGTTGGTTTTTCAAGACAGAGTTTCTTTTGGTAACAGCCCTGACTGTCCTGGAACTCACTCTGTAGACCATACTGGCCTTGAACTCACAGAGACCTTCCTATCTCTGCCTCCCGAGTGCTTAGCCCCGGTTATTTATTTTTGTTTTTTTGTTGCTATAGGCATTAGTGCTAAGCAATGGGAGGCTTTTGATGAAATTACAGCATCTTATTTTTTATTAAATTTTTTTATGTGTATGAGTGTTTTGCCTGCATGTATGTATGTCCACCATGTATGTGTCTGGTGTCAGAGAAGGCCAGAAGAGGGCATCATATCCCTGAGACCCGGAGTTACAGGTTGTTGTAAGTTGCCACATAGGTGCTAGGAATCATCCTCTAGTCCTCCAAGAGAGCAGTAAGTACTCTTAACTCCTGAGGCACCTCACCTAGGGTTTGGGTGTAAGAAACTGTAGCAAGTTCTCCTGCAAAGTTGGCCAACTGGTTTGACCTTTTGTTTTTCTCTTGCATCTTTTTCTCTTGCTATCTCTTGTGTTTTATTAGATAAGACTATATTTTTTTCAATGTAGGACAAGGAAAAAAACAAGAAAGACTCTTGTACTGGTTAGGGAATTCTAATCCAATAATTGACACAAATATTTCTTCCCTGTTCCTTTCCCCAGTATTTTCCCTAGGAAATTTAAGGGAGATTAAAAGGGAGTCTGTGTAATCTAGAACAAAAGTCCTTAGTCAGAGGTAAAGATATGATAGGACAGGTGAGCTCACCTTCAAGCATCTACTGGAAGACAATGAAGCCAGCATTGTGTTTAACCCAGAGAAAGGAAATGTGTAAGAGGCAGAGGTTCCATGATTGACATTTGAGAGGGTGTCGGTGTAGACAGTGAATTGAAGCCAGAGTAATGCAGCCACCTTATTTATAACCCAGAGGGTGACAGGAGGTTGCTCTTAGTAAACTGAGACGGTTGCCAATCAGATTGTAGTTTATTTGTGTAAAGAATTTCTGGTGCTTGCTTCTCCCAAGACCTGTGCAACAGTGGCACCTTATGGACACTTGGATAATATTCCAGCCTGTGTTACCAAAGACTGGGGAGTGAGGTCCCAGGTCACTGAGCTGTCAGTGGCCAGGAAGGGCCCTGCAGAGGTGATAGGACACACGTGGGTGTAGGCTGGATGGGAAAAGGTTCAGTGATGTTTTACCATTCTGGGAAGCAAACAGCTTCTCTCAATAACATTCTGCTTTCTACTCCCCAGACAGTGATTCCTCAACAGCTCCTTGCTTTGCCCTGGATATATTGAAATATGTTTGTAGCTTTTACAGTCTATCTAGCCTTTGCCTTTTAGGATCAAGTAAAGTCATGTCATAGCCCTTTAGGCTTTGCTTGGAAAACTCAATATTAGTTTCTTCATTAGTTCAAGGATTAAAAGGAAGAAAAAAAGATTGTACATGTTCGTTTTTTTGTTTTTGTTTGTTTTTGAGACAGGGTTTCTCTGTGTAGCTTTGAAGCCTATCCCGACACTCCCTCTGTAGACTAGACTGACCACAGAGATCTGCCTGCCTCTGCCTCCCAAATAAACTGTGATTAAAGGCATGCATCACCAAACCGGGCTCCGATGTCCCTCTTAAAGCAGCCAGGATGGCCAGTTTCTTGTGGATATCTAAGTACTTAGTTTCTGTCCCCTCCGACCTTGTCATGGATTCACTTTTCCAAATGATATGTTGTCTTCACACCTTTGCTATTGCAAACAGTGCCACAATGAAAGTCTGTCTGAAAGATAGTTTTCCAGAATGAGAATGGCCAGACCCTTTGTCTTTCATAAATATTGCTGAATTGCCTTTTTAAGAAATTATGTTCCTATCAGCAATGTATGATTTCTTGTTTTAAAAACTACGTATTTAGGCTGGGTAGTGATGGCACACACTTTTAATCCCAGCACTTGGGAGGCAAAGGCAGGTGGATCTCTGTGAGTTCCAGGACAGCCAGGGCTACACAGAGAAATCCTGTATTGAAAAACCAAAAAAAAATTTTTTTCACATGTTTATGGTTAAAGCCATTTTAAAAGCCCAAACCTCTTGATAACTATTTTCCTCTTCCCTGATCCCCAGCCTTTAAGAATTTTAATTAGCAATAATCATGTCCCGGATAAATCTCATTGGCTGAGGTACCATTTGGGACAGGAGGGAGAAGTATCTTCTCCAGGTTCCGTTTTGTTTGTCAGAGGGGGCTCTGCTTCTTCCCTAAAAAGGAGGCAGCGTTCCTATTTCTGGTCCCTGCAGCCACAGTAAAACAGTTCCTCCTCAGTGTCATAGTGGCCAAGTTCCTTAGACTGCTGGGATTTCTCATTTGGAGCACAGTAAGCATGATGCCAGTGGCCTTGGAATTGGTCTCATACACTGGGAGGTAATTTCCTGGCTTTATATAGGCCACTACCACTAAGAATAACTCAATAATAGACAGTTCTTTTCTATTTTTCAAGTACTTCATCTTGAGAAATGTCCCATCACACTTACTAGGAAGGAGAAATGAATGTTATTTGCTTTGATTATATATCCATCCGCCCTCTACTTTAGCCAAACCCTCCAGCTCATTTATTACTTTCAGGCAGCAGTGGGCTTTGTTTGTTTGGTCTTTTGAGACAGAGTCTAACTATACACTATGTAGCCCTGGCTGGCCTAGAATTTGCTATGTAGACCAGGCTGACCTCAAACTCAGAGATCTGCTTGGCTCTGCCTTCCAAGTGCTGGGATTAAATAGGTGCACCACTATGCCTGGATAAGGTTGATTTTGTTTGTTTGTTTGTTTGTTTGTTTTTCCAAGACAGGGTTTCCCTGTGTACCTTTGGAGCCTGTCCTGGAACTCACTCTGTAGACCCGTCTGGGCCTCGAACTCACAGATATCCACCTGCCTCTGCTTGCTTAGTGCTGATATTAAAGGCATGAGTCCCCACTGCCTGGCTTAGGGTTGATTTTCAAAGTAAAGTGTTAGTTATTAGTAATCAAGACAAACTGAAAATGAGAGTGCTAGCAATTGGGTTAGTTTATTACGTTCTGTTTAAATACAGAACGTAATAAACACAGAGGAAGATAGCTCATGTTACCTTCTTTCAGTACTCTGTGGATGTCACACCATCAAGATGTATTCATTTTATAATGTAGGAAATAAATTTTCATTTATGACTTGAAATGTCACAAATCTCAGGTGAGAGTTTGGGAGCTTAGTGGTTAAAAGTGTACACGCCTTTAATCCCAGCACTCGGGAGGCAGAGGCAGGCGGATCTCTGTGAGTTTGAGACCAGCCTGGTCTACAAGAGCGAGTTCCAGGACCGCCTCCAAAGCCACAGAGAAACCGTGTCTCAAACCCTCCTCCCACCCCCAGAAAAAAAGAATGAGCACTGCTTTTGCAGAACACCAGAGTTCAGTTCCTAGCACCCATATTGGGCAGTTCACAGCCACCTACAAGTTCAGCTCCAGGGGATCAGATGTCTCTGGGATACTACTTACACTTACATGTACATACCCCCTCCATATGCATAATTCAAAGTTAATCTTTTTGTTTGTTTGTTTTTTGTTTTGTGAGACAAGGTTTCTCTGTATGTATTGCTTTAGAGGTTGGCTTGGAACTTGCTCTGTAGACCAGGCTGGCCTCACTCACAGAGATCTGCCTGCCTCTGCCTCCTGAGTGCTGGGAGTAATCTTTTTTTTGAAGGTGAGGATTTTGAAGTTCAGAATATGTATTCATTGACTATATATTTAATATCACTTCTAAGGTAGTATTAAGGAAAAAGTACTCAATACATATAAAAAAACATGACTGCAGCCTAATTCATATAGCAGAGACAGAAATTGCTGCCCTTACTAAGGGAACACCTGCGTACTAGTTTGTTAAGATTATATAATAGTAAAATGGCTCATGTTTGCATTTATTTTATTTTAATTTTTATAGTCATGGGGACTGACATTAGGGCCTTATGCAGGACTTCCGCTATTGGGTTATATACCTACACCTCTTTTTATTGAGACATGGTCTCACTGCATTGTCCAGACTGGCCTTGAAGTCACTCTGCAGTCCAAGCTGGCCTTGAATGTGGTAATCTTCTTGCCCCAACTTCCAGAGTGGTTACAGGTTTGTGTCAGTAGGCCCGGCCCCAGAGACCATCCAGGAGAATGAAATGAGTGAGCGTCCCACAGTTTGGCCATCGTGTGTGTTGGGTGTGAGGGATTAAGTAAGTGTACTTTTGTGATGAGTTCTTTCATTTGGATCCAGGTGAGCGGCCTGTGAGAGTTTATGCGGATGGAATATTTGACTTATTTCACTCTGGTCATGCCCGGGCTCTGATGCAAGCAAAGAACCTTTTCCCTAATACATATCTCATTGTGGGAGGTAAGAAAACATCGGGTGACTTTAGGTATTGTTCAGAAGAAGAGCGATCTCCCTCCTGTTTGGTGACTTAGTGCAATGACTGACCTAGGTTTCATTTATGAAAGGAAGGGTGTGGCACAAGCTGTCCCAGATACAGTCTGTAGGGGCAGCTTAGCCTGGAGAGAGTAGCAGCAGGCTCACTGAGAGGGCCTGGGCTATCTCAGAGTTCATAGCCGAGGTTCTACAGTTATAGAGTAGCACTGGTCAGTTGTCTACTTAAAAGCATTGTTCTGGACTTTGCCTCATTAGCTTTGAGTCAACAGCAATAGAAAAGTCTGCCAAGCAAATGTTGTGGTCAAGTCCAATCTTAGGAAAATAAAATAAGAAAACATTTTAAAAAATTATTTTATCTGTATGGGTAGATTTTTTTTTTTTGTTATTTGGCTGGTTGGTCTTCATGTGTATTTCTGTACCACATGTGTACCTAGTGCCCAAGGAATTCAGAAGAGGGCTTTAGATTGCCTGGTACTGGAGTTACAGACAGTTGTGAGCCACCGTGTGGGTGCTGGGAACCAAACTTGGGTAGTTTTTAAGAGTAGCCAGTGTTCTTAGCTGCTGAGCCATCTCTCTAGCTCCAGTAAACATTTTTTAAAAACTTCACCCGTGTGGAAATATAAAGTGGGAACTCAGTCAAAATCTGAATTCCCTCTTTTACCCTTTTTGGAAGTGTGAGCCTTGGTGTAGTGAATGTGGCTCCTGAAGGTCTTCAGTTAGGAAGAACATTGTTACCCAGGCTGAACTACACCCAGAAGATTCTTGTCTTTGGATGGGGTGGAGTAGGCATTGTTACAGGCCTAGAAAGTACAAGACGGGAAAGGTTGGTGACTGAGGAAGGTTAGACAGAGGGGCCTTCACTTAGAACTTGTGCTGTGAATCCAGTCTGCAGTGATGAGCTCACGCACAACTTCAAGGGCTTCACTGTGATGAACGAAAACGAGCGTTATGACGCAGTGCAGCACTGCCGCTACGTGGATGAGGTGGTGAGGAACGCCCCCTGGACGCTGACGCCCGAGTTCCTGGCAGAGCACCGGGTAAGAAACTGGCCATGTATACTCATTCCTAGTTCCCAGCATCCCCTCATTGCTTGACAGAAGGCTGGTTTTCCATTTGTCGTGTGCCTGTATGGTCATGTTCTGGTTGCTTCCCACAGCCGTCTTGTGGGGATAGTTACTATTTCATTTACATATGGAGAGCAAGGTCCAGAGAGACGTAATCATGCGCTCCAGCTTACATTGTTAGCTGGACTTAAATGAACTGCCTGACTACATGGTGCCCCCCCACATACACACATACAATAGGTGTGTCCTCCCCTTAGAGCATGCCAGTCTCTTTAGAATATCCATAGTTCTAGCCTCACACTGACAGACTTTATCTATCTGGGTTAGTAAGATGGTTCAGCAGGTAGAGACACTTGCCCAGTCTGATGACCTGAATTTGAACTCTGGACCCACATGCTAGAAGGTGAGAACTGACTCCTGCAAATTGTCCTCTAGCCTACATGCACACATTTATGAACAAGTTTCATACATACAAAATAAAGAAATTTAATTTTTTAAATGTAAAAAAAGGGGGATGTTTATATTCCAAAGCCAAGACACTGAAGCAGGAGGACCACAAGTTTGAGCTATATAATAAAACAAGCAAACATGGGCTAGAGAGGTGGCTCAACAGTTAAAAGCACTTGTGTTCTTTCAAAAGACCAGAGTTTGTTTTCCCATCACACACATGAGGTGGCTTTCAAGTGGCTTGTAATTCCAGCTGCAAGGGATCCAGTGTCCTCTTCTGGGTTCCATAGACACCTGGGATCCATTGACACTTGTACACACACACACACACACACAAAATAAAATCTTTTAAAAGGGGGCTGGAAAGATGACTCTGTGATCAAGAACATTTGCTGTTCTTGTATAGGATCTGGGTTTGGTTCCCAGCATTCACATGGTGGCTCACAACTGTCTGTACCTCCAGTTCCAGAGGATCCAACAACTTCTGGCCTCCATGGACACCAGGCACACACAAAATATAAAAATAAACAAAGACAAAAAGACAAACAAAAACTGAATTAAAGAGAGAAAAGCTTTGCTGTTTAGGAAATAGCACCTGCTCTCTTCTGTTGATTTCAGTTTACTTCCAGCTTTGGTTTGGGGCTAGAAATTGAGGGATCAAAAATCAAGGGTGTTCTCACTCTTGTTTAAGAAGTAATTATTATTTTAAAAGCCCCTGACTTTGAGTTCTCCCTCATTGAAGCATGCTTCCTACAAAGATGGGCACGAAAGGGATGGGTTTCTTACAGTGGTTAGAGGCCCTCCAGCTTGGGAAGCCAGTGTGCACATTGTCACTTCTCTGCGAGGATATGTGGATCATTGCAGGAGGCAGGAAGGAGCAGAGATAGCCACCATGCTTCTGAAGCGGTACTTGAGTAGGCCTGAAGCCAGTGAAGATTTATTGTAACTTTAGGATTAGGATAGACCATTACCGCATTTTATTTAGAGAACCACCTGTGGGAGCCGGTTCTCTCAGGGATGCACCTGGGGTTAACAAGGCTTGGCAGCACGTGCCTCTACCTACTCAGCCATCTCACCAGCCTAGGACAGACCTTTGTGGCTCTCTACCTTTCCTCTATCAGTGCTTAGCAGTGGTACCAAGGGTGAAGAGCAAGGTATTCTCTGCAGCACAGCCAGCCCATTTTGTCCTTTTTCTCCTTGTAAGCAGTAAATCTCCACCATTCAGCTTGCTTGCTTGAGTCTTTACTTTGCTGTCCTAACAACTTGTTCTTGGGACATGAACATGTTAGCTCAGGTCCTGAGAAGCTTGCTCCACACTTGTGTAGCTTCTGGGGGTTGGGTTTGCTAAAGTTAAGTGTTACGTTAGCAATGGCTTCTGGGCTATCCAGAATGAGTCAATAAAGGAGGGTTTGCAATCTTCCGAGTCTTGTGAAGTATATTTACAGCAACACAGTGATAAACACTCTGTCTTGCATTTCTTAGTAGAACAAATATGTCTGTTCTGGTAAAAGGACTTTAGTTGGTATTTCCAAATTCCCCTTTTCTAGGGAACTAAGAGAAACAGCAGTTAACTGAGCAATAACGAAATCTTTCACTCTTTTAGAAGCCTTTTTGTGGCTCATTTCTATAGAGCCTGGAGGACAGGGAGGTACCCTTCTTTCTAGGCTCTGTCTACTAACTGGCTTACCAGAAACCTCTCCTGCTCCACTGACCACACCATGCTGACGGTGTACAGAGGGACGGTAGCACTTCTCTTAGACCAGAAGAGATAGCTAGAGAGGAAGCTGAAAACTTCCTGTGTAAAAGCCATAAATAATTAGGTTGGTAGTTTCTGAATAGATTGTAGAATGTGTGAACCAGGCAAAAAGGTGCAGAGGAAAGGTTGTTTTGAGGCATGGCCCTGCCAGTTTCCCTTTTTTCGAGCCCAAGGGTATTATTGGGTTTTTCCAAATGGCAGTTAGCCTGGAGATGAGATGATTTTTTTTCCTATTTTCAGATTGATTTCGTAGCCCATGACGATATCCCCTATTCTTCGGCAGGGAGTGACGACGTGTATAAGCACATCAAAGAAGCAGGTGAGTGGGTTGGTGTCCAGCTTCACTCTATGGGGTCCTGGGCAACTCCAGAGGGTCAGCCACGGCACTGCTTTGTAGTAGAGAATGTGAACTCTGAGAAGTTCACACTCGGCTTCTGGCCAAATTGTGGACAACAGTGTGCGTAGCATACTCCAACCCCTGTCAATTTTTGGTTCAAACATCTCATTTTAATCTCTTAAATTTAGGACAAATCCCATACTTTCTTACTATTAGGACAGTGTGTGCCTCCTTTCTTCTAGGCCTTGCTTCAGTCCTCCTGTGTGCTGGATCTCTAGAGTTCGATTGTAGTAATAAGAGTCTGCTTTTTTTTTTTTTTTTTTTCCTGTCCTGGAACTCACAGTGTAGATCAAGCTGGCCTTGAGCTCACAGAGATCTACCTGCCTCTCTCTGCCTTCTCCATGTGCTGGGATTAAAAAAGAGTCTGTCTTTTGAGAAAAAGAAGTGTATTGCTACCAGATTCTGTCTAGTCCCCGTCTGACGTGCCAGGATATCACAGTGTTTGTCTGTTTGTTTCAATTTAGGCATGTTTGCTCCAACACAGAGGACAGAAGGTATCTCCACATCAGACATCATCACCCGCATTGTCCGTGACTATGATGTGTATGCCAGACGGAACCTACAGAGGGGCTACACTGCAAAGGAGCTCAATGTCAGCTTTATCAATGTGAGTTGCATCTTCATCCCGTAGTTCCCTGCCTCTCTGTAGGACACAGCTTGCTTCCCACGCCATCTGGACCGAGCACACTTTTCAGTCTGCTGTGATACCACACTGAGCATTTCACAAAGAAAGCACAGAGGCAGGTTCTGTCCTCATAGTCTAATATATCAGTGCACTGATACAAGGACAGGCAAACAAAGCCGGACGTGGTGGCACATGCCTTTAATCCCAGCACTCAGAAGGCAGAGGCAGGAGAGTTCTGAGTATTCCAGGCCAGCTAGGCTACGGCTGCACAGTGAGATCTGTCTTTTTAAAAAAAGTATGTATGTATGTATGCATGCATGCATGCATACGTATGTATGTGTATGTATAAATGTGCATACACACACACACACACACACACACACACACACACACACACACACGTATACATACACAATTCAGCAAATAGGAATGTATAATTGAGTGTGCCTATTGTCCCAACACAGATATGTCTGTTCTAGTGAAAGGACTATAGGCAGGATCAAAATTTTGAGGCCAGTCTTAGAAACATGACACTCTTCTCAAAAAACAACAAAAGTATAAATTATATAGTACACTATATCAATATATTTAAAGAGAGGCCCTCTTAACTGTAAATTTGTAGACCAGGCTGGCCTCGAACTCACAGAGATTCTCCTGCCTCTGCCTCCCAATTGCTGGTACTAAAGGTGTGCACCGCCACCATCTGGCAGTCTTTCCTATTATTATGCTAAATAAATACAGGCCAGATTAAGTATAGCAGAATGTTAAAAATTGAAAATCGAGTGATTTTTATTGTTATGTGTATGTCCGTGGGTAGGTGCGTGTAAGTGCAGATGCTAGCAGGGGCCAGGGTGTCAGAGCTCTCAGGAGCTGGACATAGAGACAGGTGTGAGCCATCTTCAGTGGGTACTGGGAATCAAACTCGGGTCCTCTGGAAGAGCAGGAAGCACTCTTAATATCCTGAGCCACCTCTTCCTGCTTGGGTATTATGTCTTAAAAACCATTTGTTTTGTCCTAGGAGAAGAAATACCACTTGCAAGAACGGGTTGATAAAGTAAAGAAGAAAGTGAAAGATGTGGAAGAAAAATCAAAAGAATTTGTGCAGAAGGTGGAAGAAAAGAGCATTGACCTCATCCAGAAGTGGGAAGAGAAGTCCCGAGAATTCATTGGAAGTTTCCTGGAAATGTTTGGTCCAGAAGGAGCACTGGTGAGAGAGAGCCTGCCTTCCCGATGCTGGAGGGCATATGGGCAGGGATGCTGCTTTTCATTGCTGCGGTACTGGTGATTGAGCCCAGGACATAGTATGCATGCTAGCAGGCACTCACACTGGGCTGTGCACTCAGCCTTATCTATTTATTTATTATGTTTAAGACAAGAACTCACTATGGGGTTGGTTTGAAACTTGCAGTGTAGACCAGGCTAGTTTAGGACTCAGAGTGATCTGCCTATTTGTCTCCCAACTGCTAGGGTTAAAGGTGTATGCCACCACAGAAGGCTTATTTATTTATTATTTTTAGGAGTGTTTCCCTAAGGTGCCTAGACTGGCCTTGTAGTCTATGTTGCCCAAGGCCGGTCTTGAACTTGTGATACTAATGCTTCAGCCTCCAGTAAATGTACAGTGAATTCAAGAGACTTGCAATGCTGTGGAAAGGAATATAGACTCTGAGCAGAAAGGGACATCAAAATGAAGAAGTTACTTATCTAGTCACATATTTTCCTAGTAATTTTGCCAGCTGTCTATCAGCCTTGACATCTGGAGTCCAGATAAGTAGGTAGCCTTGACCCTTATGAAAGAGAAGGAAAAAAAGAGCTGCCTCTCCATGAGAAGCTGCTGTGGGTCCCCAATGAGTATAGCAGTGCCCTCCAACCAAATAGAGTTCCATTAGTGAGCCTTTGTGTTTGCCCTCGTGTGCACTGCAGACTAAGCAGCCTTGAAGAATGTCTCTGATGGGAGTCAAGGAAAGGCCGACTGAGAAACTGGTGCAAACTTAGATAAGCAGTCCCGTGTGGAGAGGAAACTGCCAGCATTACAGTTGTGTCCTCCTGTCTTCTTCAGTCATGCTTGACATAGCAGGGACAGGGTATTTCCCTCAAATGATTGAGGCCATAGCTTCAATCCTCAGCAATAGAAAAAAACATTAGTTATAGGGGAGATTCAGAGTAATTTGGGGTTTCAGAGGCTCTGGTGGTGATTCATGTGGTCCATAGGTATCTTCTAACTCTCCCTTTTGGTCTGCCTCCCCAGAAACATATGCTGAAAGAGGGAAAAGGTCGGATGCTGCAGGCCATCAGTCCCAGGCAGAGTCCCAGCAGCAGCCCTACTCATGAACGCTCCCCCTCCCCCTCCTTTCGATGGCCCTTCTCTGGCAAGACGTCCCCATCTTCCTCCCCAGCAAGTCTCTCTAGACACAAGGCTGTGACCTGTGACATCAGTGAGGATGAAGAGGACTAACTTTTCATCCCTGTCCCCTGCCCCTGCCCCTGCCCCTGCCCTTGCCCGTCACCTCCAGAAGCTCTCTGTCGAATTCCATTTTGTGACCCCCAACACTAAACCTAAGGACATCTACAAAGAAAAGACAGTGGGGCAAGAGGACCTGGGAATGGGGGAAACAAAACAGCCTGTGCCCTGAGACCTCCGTCGACTGAGCACACCTTAGAAGCCTGCTCTGCATCCATTTTCCTCCCCAGAACTTTGCTTTACTGTTTATGCTCATGTAATCTTGACAGGGAAATTGTCATTTTTATTAATTTTTTAAAAATTAGTCTTTCAAATATAGTAAATAGAACTAATTTTTTGCCCTGAGGAGTGGGCAGAAGAAGGAAGCGTGTACTACCCAGAGGCCTTTCTTCCAGACACACTAGTGCTTGCCTTCTGTTCTGAAGCAAGGTGGCTTGCCAGATCCTTCAAACAAAGAGCCATGCTGATGGGTAATTTGGCAAGACTGTTGCAATTTTAACTTCCCTAAAATATCTAAAACCTGAATTAGCTCCTAATTCCAAGTGTCCTGCCGACCCATGTGTCAGCATGGTTGTGGGAAGGAAGAGATCTAAGTCTCGCTTTTCTTACTCCCTGAGGAGTTTCTTGTTGGACCCAATGGGGTCCATGCAGACACTGATGGGGATGCAACCAAACAACAGAGTGTCGGTTGCAGATTTTCTGCTGTGTTCATCTTAGAATATTCTGTTGCCCAGTATTTGGGAGCTGTGGTCAATCTCTTTCCTGCAACCTACCTGTAAAGGAAGGGGCACTGAGGGATCCTGGGATTGCAGAGGACAGTGGGATGAACTCAGTCCAGTGCCAGGGCAGCTGTGGTTGAGTTTCTGTTGGGAACACATCCCTCTCCCTGCAGCTGCCATTTCAGCACCATGCTTGGCTTTATACAAAGCATGCTTTGTAAATGTTCCCAGCTTGAACTTGACCCCTTAGCCCATGTTGCTTATTGCCATATTTAACTCTTAGATTTTGACAGAGCGCACAGGCAAAGCGTCAGGAAGCACTTTGATCTCTAAAACACTTATTGACCTCCGCTCCTCTTGAGAATGCTCTTGGGTCCAATCAGTGTCCTGTGGAGACTCTATCCTCCTAAGAACTGCACCTGGCAGGGACTTCCTCCACTGCCCCTCCAGAAGCCACAGGCATGCGCTAAACTACCAGCACACAGAGCTCTGTGCCCCCTGGCCCATCTGTGCTGGTAGTTATGCTTCCACTGCTCCCGTTGGTTCCAAGAGGAAACAGAACTTGAATTTCAAATCAAAGAATGCCGACTCTCAACACGTGCTACTGAGTGTGAGCTGATGTATTCAGGCGCCTTGCATCTCATCTCAGCTGCATGGCCCAGCAGTTAGCCTGTAGCTGGATTTAGGGCAAAATTGTTTATTCCAGGACCTACTTGTCACTCATAAGTACCCCTTGTGGGGGTGGAGCTTTAGTGTTTTCGGCAAAGAAAACCACATTTTCTTTTTCCTTGTACCTCTGCTGGGACTATGAACATTTATATCATAGTCCTCCCTAGGCACTTTCTGGTGGAAGCTGTGCTACTGCCTAAAGGTCTGAAGCTAGCACCACATAATGCCTGCATGGCAGGACTACCTGGGCTACTAAACTATCTTCCAGGCAGGCAGAGCAGAGGAGAGGATCAAAGAGGCACTACTTGGTGTCCGATGGCCTGTGGAAACTCCCTAACTCCTCACGAAGTGCTGTCAGATAGGATCCATATGGCCTTGACCTGGAACCCTCTCTCAAAGCTGTTGAAATTAGTGCTTTCTCATGTTAGGTAGTGCTGCATAGCTCATTTTAACTGTTCCACTTTGGTCTTCTCTTTGGGGATCCGTCTCTCTCTGCCTTATTCTCCTAGGTATACAAAGGTGATGACGTCACTGCTGCCACTCACCTGCTTGTTCTCTCAGTGCATGTCGCCCAAGCTAGCGCTCTGGTGATGGAAAGGGTCTCAAACATCAGAGCCTAGTGGCTGACAAGATGTGTACCTTAGCTAGACTAGCCTATGCTCCTGTTCTCGGAACGCCCCCCCCCCCTTCTTTCATGTCTCCTAACTCATATTCTCAGATAACAGGCATGAGGGTGTGGCAGCATGTTAGGTACTTGAGGGTCAGTGTGCTCCTAGGTGCTAGAAAAAGGTGCTGTTGGGATGCTGCACTGTGGCCACTTGTACCTAGTTAAGTGCGGTTGAGCATCTGGATGTTGTGTCTGACTGTAATCCGAACCTCATCTTGTGCAGCCTCAGCTGTGGAGCTCCCCCCCCCACCCCAGGCCATGTAAGAAAGCAGGCAGCATGGAAGGGTCCGGTGGCAAGGATGGGATAACCTTAAGTTGTTTGGAAGTGGCTTGCAGATAGGAGTCTTCTAGCTGGTACTAAGAAGAGGCCAGTACAGAAGCCAACCTGGATGTGGGCTGGACAGGAACATTGCTCTTTTCGTATGCTTGGCTGGAGAATAGAGAGTAGAGGTTGCCACATAGAGAAAGTAGAAATGGATCACTAGTGCCCGCAGCAGCTGCTCTGAGAGTTATGCCAAAGACCCTTTGCAGACTTGAGGAAGGCTGAAAATCCCGAAGAAGAGAGCCGGAGAGACCGTTTCTGGTCACTTTTCTCAGCAGCACCGTAGTTAACTCTCACTGGTGGCCACACATCTGGCCAGCCATCTGGAATAACCCTCCACAGTGGCTCTTCCCAGTGCTTTGTCACTCACGTAGCCTGTTGTCTTTGAGATCTGTTCCCTTATCAACTTTTCAATCCCTTCTCAAATCAGTTCTGTTTCCCTGCTTTGGTTTTACCCCTAAAGCCATAGCTTCTAGATCTCTGTCAGCATACATGTGCCGAAACTGAACCCACACGGGGTTCAAAGGAAGCTTCCTTAACAATGTTTTAAAAACTAATGGTATTTTTTTTAAGCTTACCAATATAAGTATTTTTAAAGGTTGTATTTTTCAAAGTCATTAACAATGATTGTTTTCTCTCACAGACAGATTATCATGGGATAAAGAATGGTCCCTAGCTTCTATTTTTCAGAAAAAAAAATAAGTGCAACATGTTCTTGGACTTTAATAACATTAAAGATTAATTCTTCTAAAAGGAAAAAAAGAAATATAGTCTGTCTGCCAGAATTTTTTGTCGGTACAAGATTGGGGTAGAGACCAGAAATGGCAGGATAACATTTGGATGGCCCAGATTGGGTTCTACTGGGTTTGAAGTGAGCACCTTCCACCACCTTGGAGGAGCTGTTTTAAACAATGAGAATTGATGCTTAGGTGTTTTGCATCAAGGCTCCCGAACAGAAAACACTGTTGGAAAGAGTCACCTGGGGCATGAACACCGCCATCACCAGTGGGAGTCAATGGGGGGTTTGCCTCAGAACTCAGTGTGTCACTTTCCTGTCTAATAATATGTTCAGAGTTATTTTGGCTTTTTTTCATTTAGCCAAATAAAGGACATGTGATTTTGCCTGGTGTTTCTATTTCCTGTAGTTTTGACCAGGCTTACATGTGTTAATGTCTGAAGTATCGGGGGCTTTTATTTGTATCCTCAGTTCCTTTGAATTTGTGTTCTGATTTCTGATTCAAGTTCAAGTTTCATGACAGTATTGATGAGCAGTTCCACTTGCAGTTTCTTACAGAAAACTCAAAAAGCTGGCACAAGGGGATCTCAGACCTTCTATGGCCAACTGTTATACCCAAGGAAAGGATGGCTTGTACTGCATGCAGAGCCTGGCTTCTTCTAGAAGCTAGACTGGTGCTGTTTTGCCTGGCTAAGGTCTATTTCCCCCCCCCCCTTTTTTTAATTTTTATTATGTATACAACATTCTGCTTCCATGTATATCTGCACACCAGAAGAGGGCACCAGATCTTATAACGGATGGTTGAGAGCCACCACGTGGTTGCTAGGAATTGAACTCAGGACCTTTGGAAGAGCAAGCGGTACTCTTAACCACTGAGCCATTTCTCCAGCCCCATATTCCGTTTTTTATATCAGATAAACCATACATAAAACACTTACTCTTCTCCCCTTTATTCTGCTGTGCAAAAGCTCTATGTGACCAATAGTGGCATGCACCCCAGAAGCCTCAGGGTGATCAATAGTGGCATGCACCTCCAGAAGCCTCAGGGTGACCAATAGTGGCATGTACCCCAGAAGCCTCAGGGTGACCAATAGTGGCATGCACCCCAGAAGCCTCAGGGTGACCAATAGTGGCATGCACCCCAGAAGCCTCAGGGTGACCAATGGTGGCATGCACCTTACAAGCCTCAGGGTGACCAATGGTGGCATGCACCCCAGAAGCCTCAGGGTGACCAATAGTGGCATGCACCCCAGAAGCCTCAGGGTGACCAATAGTGGCATGCACCCTAGAAGCCTCAGGGTGACGAATAATGGCATGCACCCCCAGAAGCAGTGTGCCAATGCAGTCTCTCTTCATTACAAAACTTCAAGTGCCTTCCCTGAGCAAAACTCAAGACAGTTTGGCATACTGCACTTTACCTTCATCCCTATGTCACATGAAAGCTGCCAGCCTGCACTGGTTAAGGTGGAAGGACAGAAATCACATGCTCTTCTGAGGAGGACAGTGTCTTTCCCATAGTCCAAGCCACTCTCAGGCTTTGATTTTCAAGTCCAAGTCTGGTGCCGAACAACTCTGGTACCCAATCTTGTCATCTTTCCTTCGATAGTACATCCGTGTCAGCACCGTCATCAGGAAGGTCTCCAGTATGAGCATGTGACAGTTCATTACTGCAGTGTTCAGGGGAACATGACACAGGTAATGCTGTTAGAGAAGGGAGCCATAGCAGCCCTGGCAAGTGAGCTAAGAGGCACTCCAGTTTACCTCCAACCAGGACCTAAGATACCAAACTGCTGTGTGAAGCAAGGCTTCACAGAACTCTGCTCTGGTAGTTGATCAGACCTGGCAGTCTGCTTCTTAACAGTACCCATTCTTGTCCCATGGTGAGGACTGAACCCCTGCCCTCCTGGTTTAGCCATTAGGACTGGCCTCAAGCTGGGGACATTGCCGTTCTCTGTGATGAGAGAGGGAAGGGTCCTCAGAGCCTCTGCCTGGTTTCTTGGACTCTTCCTGAACATTCTGAGCAGACATCAGGCTGACCCAACTTCTGTCCCAAGGTCCTCTCTCCCCTGATCTGCTCCCAGTCTCACCCGTGACACAGAAAGGAGCCCTAAGTACTCACCTTGAGACCTGATTTTAGAAGAATAAGGAGGCGAGCAAGCAATCTGCCCGGTACTAGCCAAGACGGAGAAAATGGAGGGCTGCAGGGCAGTCAGGATGACAAGAACCTTCGGAATAGAAGAGGCAGGTGTGGGGGCGGGGCTGGCCCTGCCACCCCTGGTCCTGGGGCCAGCTCAGACTAGGCATACATAATCTCTGCAGTGAATGGAGGGCTGAGATTTAAAACTACTGAAAATGGTTGCAGTTTTCATCTTCAGGCAAATTATAACCCTGCTTCCACTTCATTCATTAGAGTTGCTCATAAAAAAGAGAAAAAAAATTTATCTCTCTCATGTCTCATGGCCACTATCAGCCACCCAGGGGCATCTAGCACGTAAAATAGAGGCAGACAGATGGGAAGGGCCATATGATGATGGAGGCAGAGGTTGGAGTGATACAGCAGAAGGCCACAGAAGGACCACCATGGATTGATTGCTGGCCAAATCCAGAATGGGAGGGGCAAGTTGGGTTCTCTAGGTTCCAAAGAGATTATGGCCCTGCCTGTATTTTGGTTTTGGGTTTTTTACAGGCTCTAGATCAGTGCAACAATGCATTTCTGTTGTTTTAAGCCTGGTTGGTGGAGTTTTGTGGCACAGAAAGGCAAAAGAAAGATAAAATGGCAGGGGGTGGGGAGATAATGTTCCAAGTCTCTCAGAAAACCCAAAGGTGGAGGCCTCTGTGAGTCCTAACTCGGCCTGTGCTGCCAATCACTGTTTATGGGGTGTAGTTACCTGGAACAGAGCAAACTTGGACCCCATATTCTGTTCACCCAGGTGCACCTTGGCTTGACGGAAAAGGATGGCCAGGGACCAGAGAGCAAACAGCGTGGACACGCCCAGGAAAGTGTTGATCCACAGAGCTGTGCTCTTCTCAGAGATCTGGTGGCAGAGCAGAAAGCAGTCAGGAGGGCAAACCCTCTCTTTGCTTCTCCTCCTCCATGTGGGGAAAGGTGACACAACAGCCCCAAAGCCTGGGCCATCTCCCCACCGGATTCTCTGGGCTGTTACTCCCCTGTGGCCACCCTGCCTTTGGCCCTGTGTATTGCTGGTACTCCGATATTAGTTCTAGAACCCAAAGACAACAAGTCTTAGACTTTACTGCCCTCTCCTGGCTTACGTCTGATGGGTCAAAGATGCCATCAGGGATGAGAAACAGGCCCACTATGGTCAGCATTATCTTCAAGAAGGCATACTGGAAAGGGCCCAACATCAGCAGCTGAAGCTTCCTCCTGAGGGGAAAGAGAGTTAACATGGATCCATAAACCACCCACCCTAAAGAAGCCTAGCCTCTCCAGTGGACTCCTAAGGCTGGGCTGCCATCCCCACACAAAATGTCTCATGGATGAAGGCACAGTAGAGTGTAGGTTGAGGGTACCGGGGAACCCTCCTGGCCTTACACTTGCCTCTGGTGATGCCTTTTGAAATCAAAGTATTGATTTCAAGTCCATTACTCAAAGTAGGCAGAGGGGCAAGCAAGCACCCAAACTACCGTTTTTGCTTTGCTACTAAAGTATGCAGTGCAAGCTGGGCATGATAGAAAACATCTTTAACCCCAGCCCTCAGGAGGCAGAGGCAGGGGGATCTCTGTGAGTTCAAGGTCAGCCTGGTCTCCAGAGTTCCAGGACAGCCAGGGCTACACAAAGAAACTCTGTCTCAATAAATTAAATAAACAAATAAATAAATATAAAGTAGGTAATTAAGGCAGTGAACTGAATCATACAAATTCTTCCTCTGGGGCTGGAGAAATGGCTCAGCAGTTAAGAACACTGATTATCTTCCAGAGGAACCAGGTTCAGCTCCCAGTACCCGCATGGCAGCTTACAGCTGTCATCCAGTTCCAGGGAACTGGAAACCCAAGGTAAAACACTAATCCACATTTTTAAAAAATGTGGTGGTTTCTGGCTGTGGGATGCCTACCTTTATTATTGGCTTTGTCCCATACAGCCTTAATTTCAAGAGCCATGAACTGGGGTTACAGAGCCTCATGCTCGCGTATCCCTGTGGGATTCCTCTCCTCTGCTTTACCTGGTAAGCATGAGCGGTGGGCAGCAGGGGCAGCAGCAGCAGCAGGGACCCGTGTGCACCCTCATTGGGGTGTCCTGCAACGTCTTCAGAACTGAGTCCTTCCCACCAAAGCCTTCCACCATGACCAGCATCAGCAGGTAAAAGACTACAGCATAAAACCTGGGAGAGAGAAGCAGGATTGCAAGTGGGTGGGAGCAACACCGTGCACCCCTCTGGAGCTAAAGAGATAAAGACTGCCAGGAGAGGTGGGACTGGCTGAGGGAAAGAGCAAAGGGCCTGGCATTATAGTTGTTTCTTGGGTTTTTGTTTTTGTTTTTGTTTGTGCTTTTTCGAGACAGGGTTTCTTTTGGAGCCTATCCTGGCACTCAATCTGGAGAGCAGGCTGGCCTCGAACTCACAGAGATCCGCCTGCCTCTGCCTCCCGAGTGCTGGGATTAAAGGCGTGTGCCACCAACGCCCGGCTATAGCTGGTTTTTCAAAACACGGTTTCTCCATGTAGCCCTGGCTGTCCAGGAACTAACTGTAGACCAGCCTGGCCTTGAACCCAGAGATCTGCATGCCTCTGCCTCCCACATATTAAAGGCCTATGCCACTGCTGCCCAGCTGAGGCTGGCATTTTAGATGCATAACACAAGGAACAGAGAAGTAACTGGGTCCAGAGGACTGGGAAGGTGGCAATTTGGGCCTCTGGGAACTAACAGGTGACCGAGGAGTGTGCCAAAAGGGCACTCTCTGAGCGCAAACAGAATCAAGAGTCTCACATTAGTACAGGTGGGCAAGAGCTAGATTCCTATCAATGGGGCTTACAGACAGGACTCTGGAAGCTTGGGAGTCAGAAAAGGACAGTAAAGGGATGTTCATCCCCGGTGGTGGGGCGGGGCCAGACACTCACGCGGTTATGGTCATTTCCACGAGTGTGAGGGCTCGAGGGATCCAGAGACCAAAGCAGCAGAGCGCAGACACCACCTACTTGCAGAAGAGCAGGATGCGCGTTAGGGCGGGGCGAGCAAGACCATCCCAAGTTTTTGTAGCGAGGGCTCAAAGAAGCCAGACCTATGCATTTGAGGCACTAGTCCTTCACTTGCTAGGGCCCTAGGCTCTGAACCCGGAACCAACAAAAATAGAAGCAAGGACTGGTGAGATGGCTCAGCACATAGAGGAGCTTCTCAAGTAAACCTGGCAATGACTTCAATCCCCAGAGCCCACTAAGTGGAACAAGAACACAGACTCCACAAATTTGTCTTCCGACCTCTACCATGAGCTGTGGCATGCATGCTTCCCCCATCATGTGCACACACACATACACACACACACACACACACACACACACACACACACACACACTAGCAATAATAATCCTTTTTAAAAATAAAAATTGCAATTGGAAAATAACTGGATAAATTAAATGCAGGAGGTCCTATGCAATGGCTTACAGCTGCTGAAGCTGTGGCTCAGTGGTAGACTGTTCAGTACACACAGGGGAACAAAGGATAACCAAGCCCACAGCAGAAGGGCCACGCTGAGCATGACCCTGTGGAAACGATTGCCTGTGTATTGGAAGGTGGCCCGCTTTTAACAGCAGTGCCATGGTAAAGGGGAAAGGAGTGGCATGGCCTGGTGCTGAGTGGGTTTCTGTCTCTGCAGTCCTTTGCAATAGGGCCGTTGGCCTTGCAAACAGGCAGAGATCAGTTCACATCCCCAGTGCTACGCGGTGCTGGCAGGCAGTTTGTTTTAGAGCAAATGAGTTTAGGAGAACTCCAGTCAGCCTACCCAATCTCCAGGACCAGTGCCAGCATCCTCACCGTAGGTGCAGAGCTACTCCAAATCAGAGTCCTCTTCTTGATGGGGCAAAGGGTGTTCTTGTACAGATAAATAGCATCCTCCACGAAGATGGCAACTGAACCCACGGTAAAAAAGGTCAAGATGATGGTGAGGGCAATATCCAATGGGCCCAATTCTAGAGGAGAAGGGGAATAGATGCCAATGAATTGAAGAACAGCTGCTGCTCCAGTAATGCCTACTGAGTAAAGTACAAGCTTGTGCATGTGTGTGTGTGTGCATGTGTGTGTGTGTGTGTGTGTGTGTGTGTGTGTGTGTGTGTGTGTGTATGTGTTTTAAGACAGGGTCTCACTGTATAGCCCTGGCTAGCCTGGAACTGGAACTCAGATATATAGAGAAGGCTAGACTTGAGCTCCCAGAGATTCTCCTACCCCTGGCTCTCAAGTGCTTGGGATTAAAGGTGTGTGTCATCATGTCTGATCCTACAAAGAGTCTAACTTCTCCTCAGTTAAAAGCATCTTTTTGAGGGCTGGAGAGATGGCTCAGAGGCTAAGAGACTGCTCTTCCAGAGGTCCTGAGTTAAATTCCCAGAAACCACGTGGTGGCTCACAACCATCCGTTATGAGATCTGGTGCCCTCTTCTGGTGTGCAGATATACATGGAAGCAGAATGTTGTATACATAATAAATAAAAAAACTCCTTAAAAAAAAAGCATCGTTTCGAGCCGTCTCACCAGTCCTTTACCTTGTTGTTTGATCAGGGTCTCTCACTGAACCTGCAGCTCACTAATTTGACTGGACTTGCTGGGAAGCGAGCTCTGGGGGTCCCTCTATCTCTGCTTCCCTAGTGCTTTTTATGTGGGCTCTGGGGATCTGAATTCAGGCCCTTAATGCTGTGTGGCAAGTAACTGACCCATTGAGCTATCCCCATTCTTAGCCCCTGACATTTACAAGTGTTTCCATTAAAAAGGTGATATTCTGACACTAGCATACAGTGTGCCATGATGGTGTGCTCACACAAATACACCAAAGCTCAAACCCTGTCTGCTCCCTTCTTGGACATCTCCCAGGAGCCCATTCTGGCTTTCCCCCTGGCCTCTGAACTGGGATCACTACACCCTGCATTCTCCAGACTCAAGGGAGTTTTTCTAAAGGAAGGGGGACCCATTGTCTTTCACAGCAGGAAGGCAGAGGGGTGTATAGAGGGAGATTGTGTAGTAGGGGACATCTAGGATTCCGTAGTCCACTAAGGTGACTATAGTTCACATTTTATGAAAGAGTAGAAATAGGAGCTTGAAGGTTTGGAGAAGTTAGCCACCCTGATTTGATCGGTGTACTTTGTATATGAGTATTGGACTCCATCAATGTGTGTAATTATTCCACTAATTAAAACCCTTTCATTTCAGCTCTTCTCTGTGCTTCGGGCTGAAGATTTCACTCCCACACTTTCGTCTTTCCAGCAGTCATGCTGAGCTGTTTCTGCCCCCCCCCCCCCCACCCCCGGGCTTTCTCTGTGGCCTCTGCTTTTCTCCCTGACCTCTGCTTGCCTGGCTCCTGGACCTGTGTTCTCTGTCCCAGTGCTTAGACTTCAGCCCGCATGTCCTGGCGGCCTGTGTGGTGAGGCCTGCCCAGCTCAGGGAGATTCTTTACATCTTCCTATACTTTCATATTACCTCCTCTACTGATGCAGGGGCCCTGCCAGGCTGTTCTCTGTTCTGTTGCCAAGTAATAGTAACTGCTCTTTAAGTATGCACACTATTCAACATAGACTGGAGTCATCAGAGGGGTGGGAACCTCAACGAGAAAATGTCTCCATAAGATAGGACTGTGGTCAACCCTTTAGGACATTTCTTAATTAATAATTGATGGGAGGAGGACCCCAGCCCATTGTAGGGATGCTGCCCTTGGACTGGTGAAACTGGCTTCTATAAGAAAGCAGGCTGAGGGGCTGGAGAGATGGCTCAGAGGTTAAGAGCACTGACTGCTCTTCCAGAGGTCCTGAGTTCAATTCCCAGCAACCACATGGTGGCTCACAGCCATCCATTATGAGATCTGGTGTGCAGATGTACATGGAAGCAGAATGTTTTATACATAATAAGTAAAATCTTTGAAAAAAAAAAAAGAAAGCGGGCTAAGCAGGGCAGTGGTGGAGCATGCCTTTAATCCCAGCACTCAGGAGGCAGAGGCAGGAGGATCTCTGTGAGTTCAAGACCAGCCTAGTCTACAGAGAAAGTTCTAGAACAGCCAAGACTACACAGCAATATGCTGTCTCATGAGACTAATAATAAATAATTAAAATACATATATACAATAAATAGTTTGTGCAAATGGAATCTTACAAACTCTAAATGTTTTTGCCCAACCTTATTTTTATAACTTTTATTGCTTTCATCATGAGACGCTGATGTTGCAGTTAGCATCCTTGGGTGTGTCTCCCAGATGCAGACTGGAGAGTTTACCTGGCATATGCCTGGAATTAGAACTGCTGGGCTGGAGGAGAGAGGCAGTTTGGGTTTCATGGGTACTATATGTTATTCATAGGTATTATATAATATCCAGGTGTGGCTGCCTCTTCATCAGCTTTTTTTTTTTCCCTTAACATGGGTCCTGGGTATCCAACTCAGGTCTTCAGGCTTGGACAGCTAACACTTTTACCTGCTCAGCCATCTCACTGGCCCTTTCTTGAATTTGAAGGAATTATTTGCTGTTTCTAATCATAAAGACAATTTTTACATTTTCTTAATAAAAAAGTTTGTATTTTATGTTTATGTCCTTCATCTGCCTGAATTAAAGTTTATTTCCTGTGTGTCGATTTCCTGGGGGATAGGCAGCTGGTGTGCACATCCTCCTAGGCTGGTCCCCAGCATCTTTCTGTGTGGACCCCCATGGAGGCCTCGTGCTGCCTCTAGACCTGAGGCTTTGCAGTTTTTCCCCCTCCAGGCTCTTTGCCATGTGACTTCAATGCTTCAACTGCCACAAGCTTAACACAAGCCTCATTGCTGCTGGCAGATGGGCAGCTTCCCTTTTGCACCTCCCCCAAACCGTCCTGGGTCTTCTAGATAAACGTTTAGGTCAGTTCAATTTAAAACAAAATTAAAGATTATAAGTGGAGTCATATCACAAACTCTAAAACACCTGATTGTCAAAAGCTTTAACAGTTGTAGAACAGCCCCTTTTAACCACTTAAGAGACAAAGAACCTGGAGGGAGTTTCATTCACCACATTCTCCTTCCTCTCCTGTCTCCAGTCGGTCACTGCCACCACTCGGAATCACTCTCCTGTCTAAATATTTACCAGGGCTCCTGCTTTGTGTTGGCTGCATTTTCCATTTCTTTCCTCCCTGCTGACCTGTTCTGGCCTGCTCGATGGGGTCAATAACCTCTTGGTTTTATCTCTGCTTCATCCAAGTTCTTTCCCCCAAGCCATTCTGATTACTGGCTAAAGGTCCCGAAAGCTCCATTCAGCCCCTCCCAATTGTACAGCCCTCACTGGTGGCTCCATCTTGAGGATAAAGTACAACCTTCAGGCTTGACCTGATTCAGGCTCCACCTCACCTGCCCAGCCCTCTCAATTGCCTCAAGCTCCTCCACTAGTAACCATCAACCTTGCCAATGTGGGGAGCTGGGGGCTCATTCTATCACCATCCCCGTGTCCCTCCTGCTCTAGCCTCACCAGGCAGCCTACTTGACTATGAGACCCAGAGAGCCAACCTGTTTCCAAATCCTTGCGGTTCTACCTACCTACGCGTGTGGTAGCAAGGGGTTATGAGAGTTAGTGTGCTGTGCAAGGCAAGGTTTCAGAGGCCGGGTACTGCTGACACTTGACTCCTGAGGAGGGCTGTACTACAGAGGGTTGCACTGCAGAGGACTATACTGCTGAGGGCTGTACTATGGAGGGCTCCAATGTACCCTGCGGGTGGTCTACTGACCTCCTTAACATCTACCCATTATATGCTAAGGGCAGGCAGGCAACCTCCAGTGTGACCACCTGCAGACATGCCAAATACCTCCTGGGCTGAGGGCATCTGGTGTAAGGTGATGTTTGTCCCACCCTCTCCACTCTCTAAATATGAGGTGCTTGCAGCTGGGTGCAGCAGCCACCTGCTGGTCGCTAATCACAGTGTCTCCAGGCATCTCTGGACACCTGCAGCTGACAACTCTCTGGCTCAGAGCAACTGAAACAGAGCTATCCTTAGTCCAAGGGCCTGGCCACATCTGCTCCCCGCTGCGCATAACAGTGTCCCCTTGCTTAGGAGGTGTCTGTTTTAGAAGAAGTCACCAAGAGCCCCACATAGAAATGGTTAGTGGTGGTGTAGGAGATGAGATAAAACTGGCTTGATTGGGACTTGAGAGATGGTTCAGTGGTTAAGAGCACTGGCAGCTCTTCCAGAGGACCAGGGTTCAATCCCCAGCACCCACATGGCAGCTCATAACTGTTTGTAACTTCAGTTCCAGGGGATCTGACATCTTTACACCAATGCACACAAAATAAAGTTTATAAATTACTTAAAAAAAAAAAAACTATTTGATCCCTTCCCTCCTACAAGAACACACGCCACTTTGTTCTCAGTAGTTTGAAGGCAGAAAACATGAGCTCAGCTCCATCCGACATCTTCCATTTACAAAAGCAGACACTGGGAGGAAAAGTTTGCAGGCTCATGCAAGCCAAACCCACTCCTCACAGGGGCCACCCCTCTGCAGAGCTGTGAGCCCTCTTAGGGAGTACATACACACTCCAGGGGAACTGTGGGGCTTGCTTGGACTATATGGGGACCATCTTAAAAGCTGGAAACACTAGTAAATGTCTTAGATCCTAGTGTCCCCAGTTTGAATGTGTACTGAAGCTGGGGTGGGTGGAGGCCCAGCCTCTGGTTTGTCTCCTGGGCTAGATTTTCATGTCTCGTTGTGGCCCACTGATTCCTTGGTAGAACTGACTTTGTCCGAGGCCTTAGCCATTATTAACACCAGGCCAGCCATCCTCTCACGTTAGCCAGATGTGAACCAGCTCTCCTCAGCTTCCTGAGTTGTCCTGACTTCCCTCTGGGGCACACATGTCCTCCTTTCAACTCCTCCAGGGCCCCCTGACTCACCTCTCAGGAGCTGGGCTGCAGTGGGTGGGTAAGAGAAGCAGGCAGAGGAGATGCTGTAGTTGGTTTTCAGCAGCTCCAGAAGATCTGCTGTGTACCTGGAGAGACACCAGTCTGTTCAGAACCAGGCAGCTGGGGAAGGGGTGGCAGACTGGACAGTTTGATACACCCCAAACACTCCTGAGTACAAAGAGCTAGTCTGATTTTCCTTGAAGTCCCAGAGAACTGGCTTAGTTTAGAGTGTAAAACAAGCTGCCAGTTATCCATGGGCAGCTCCATCAGGGCGATAGTCTGGCCAGTGAGGATGAGCAGAGTCTAAGAGAATGAGTGGACTCTTAGCCAGACATGGTAATGTAGGCTTGTAATTCCAGCACTGGAAAGGGGGTCTGAGGCAGGAGGATCTTAGATTGAGGCCAGCTTCAACTACATAATGACTTGATAGGATTCTGTCAGAAAAAAAGAAAGACAGAAAGAGGAAGAAAGGAAGGAAAGAAGGAAGAAAAAGAAAAGGAGCCGTCCCATAGCAGCACCAAGGAGGGCCTGCCCACTGTTGGTCAGGAGCTCTGTGCATGTCTAGGAGTGCCTTCTGCAGCCCCCATCTCTGTAATCTTTCCCTGCTCCTATAGGGAGTCAATTCACAACCCTGAAATGGCCACACACTAATCCAATCCCAGTTTCCCTAAGGCCCGAGAGGACTTGCAGGCAGTTTTCAATCTTATCATGTTCTGAGTGCTGGAAGTCAAAGAGCCCAGTGAGGGAACTGGGCAAGATGCAGGGGCTGCTGTTGTTTCTTAGCAACTGGCTCCCAGCCCAATACCTGCAGCCTTCACTTACCTGGGGTCAAGTTTTATCTGAGTCCTGCCGGGCTCCATCCTTCTGGTCTCCCTGGCAGACACTGACGGTGAGGGGGCACAGGCAGGGCCAGCAGACAGGGGGTGGGGGGTACTGAAGAGTGGGGAGATTTCTGTCCCGTGCTGTGGTACTAACAGCCTTGTTCTGCTGGGTGAGGGCTAAGAAGAAAGTGGACAGTCTCTGCCGTCTCTACCTCAGCAAGCCTACAGTGTCAGCCTTTTATCTCTGAGTTCACCCCGGAGGAATTTGATCTCTTGTGCTGATTCCCAACTCCCGACTCCTCCCTATGAGTTAGACTTGGTCCCGCCCACCTCTCTTTTATGCCTTTGATCACTGCTTTTCTCTGGACTACCCCAACCCTTCAAACTCCATCCCCCTTTAGGAGCCTTTTAGTGCTCACTGGATCCAAGACAGAATGTCCCCACCAGGCCCAGAAGAGGGGGACAAAGTTCTCGCTTGGTCAGTAACTCTGGGTGATCCGGGCAGAAGCATGGGCTCTGGGTCCTTGGAGATGAGAGACTCAGGACTGAGGCCTCAATGTGTCTGGGTTTGTTGCTTGGTGTGTGGTGGGGATGACTGGCTAGAAAGGCCAGAGGAGGCCTGTAACTGCTGCTGCTTCGGCTACGGCTGCATTTTAGACAGGGTCTTGCTATGTAGTGATGACTGACCTGGAATTCAGTATGTAGACCAGGCATAACTTGAAGTTACATAAACCCGCCTGCCTCTGCCTCCTGAGTGCTGGGATTAAAGGAGCACACCGCTTCCACCAGGCTCAGGTTTTGCTTCTTAAAGGTCAGCCCCTGCTGGGATGAGGACAGACTTGTCCACAGCTGGACCTGAAGAACAAGGCAAGCGGAGGCTGCATTGCATCTAGGTGTCAGAGCACACAGCCCAAATAAGGGCTGAGGAGATGGCTTGGTCTGTTAAGTACTAACCTTAGGAAGAAAGGATCTGAATTTGATCCCCAGCACCCACACAGAAACGATGGGCGTGGCAGCGTATGCTGTAATCCTACATCTGGGGAGGTGGAGATGGGAGGGTTCCTGGGACTTGCTGGCCATCCAATCTAGCTGAATTGGTGAGCTCCAAGTTCAGTGAGTGACCCCATTTAAGACAAATAAGATAGGGCCAGGTAGCTGGACATTGGTGGCAGCGCATGCCTTTAGTCCCAGCACTCGGGAGGCAGAGGCAGGCGGATCTCTGTGAGTTCGAGGCCGGCCTGGTCTCCAGAATGAGTGCCAGGATAGGCTCCAAAGCTACACAGAGAAATCCTGTCTTGAAAAACCAAAAATGGGGCCAGGTGGTGGTGGTGCACACCTTTAATTTCAGCATTCGGGAGATAGGCGAATCTCTGAGTTCAAGGCCAGCTTGGTCTACAAAGTGAGTTCTAGGACAGCCAGGGCTACACAGAAAAGCACTGTCTCAAAACCAAAGGGAAAGGATGGAGAGTGCTTGAGGAAGACACTCCTGCTGACCTGGGTCTCCAGAGGCGTGCACACACACACTCCAAAAGTCCTACTCACACAGTACCCGCATGCCCTTACTCTAAGTTACATGTTTACGGACTTTATTGGGCTGGAAAGATGGCTCAGCAGCTAAGAGCCCAGGTTGCTTTTCCAGAGTCCTAAGTTCAATTCCCAGCATCCTCATAGCCCACAACCATCTTCCCTCACAAAGCTCTCTTCTGTCATGTAGATAGAGCACTCTTCCATTAAAGAATACTTAAATTAATTTTTTAAAAGAAGTATTTCATTGGTTGGTGGTTTCTCCTTTCAAATAGTTGTAAACCACTTTGAGGCTGAGCACAGTGTGCTGCACCCTAGATCCCTGGCATGGAGCCTGGGGCACGCTACGTGATCCTTGGACCACTGACAAAATAAGAAATACAGAGTGACCACAGCAGGTGCGTCACGAATGCTGGGCGCTGTGGGAAATGAGACCGACCGTTCCTCATCTAAACCTTATCACCCTCTCATAAAGTAAGGGCGGTTTTTACTCCTATTTCACAGACGACAAAGCTCAGGGCAAGAGAGGTTAAGAAACCAAGTTCGGGTGTCATGGGCATGAACAGAGGCAAAGGCGCCTGGGGTAGAGGGGGGCTCGCTGTCGTGGCTCAGTGGGAGGTTTTCAGTATCGAGACTAGGGCCTTTGGGAGTGGGGTCCTCAGGAGGAGACTTTTCCCCAAACACATTGCCATGTCTGTCGGGTCCCGCACTTTACCCTCAGTATAAAACACGTTCTCAGGACAAAACAATATAACACCAGGAGTAGGAGTCTCAGGGCCAGTTACCTCCTGAGATGCAGGGAAGGGCAGAAAAGGGGTAAGGGTGCTGGTCCTTTAGGTCGATGGCCTTGGCCACACCTAACAGACACAAGCTGACTCAAGCAACTTCCGCTAGAACACACCTCAGGTCATTCATATGTGGCAGCTGAGAAGCCCAGAGCTTACCCTGCACACAGCCCTGAACTTTAGACTACCCTGGAGGAAATAACCTCAAGATGGGGGTGAGGATGTAGGCAGGAGGCATAGGAAGGAGTTGGGGGACCTGAGGCCAGGCTGGAGACTGGTAGATCCCAGCAGAGGTGACCTTTTTTCACCGGGTACAGGTGGAGGGAGGCAACCTGCTGGGTGTTCCCATCCTACCCAAAGTCTCTAAGTGGCTGTTTCTTTACAGTGTGCCCATGAGATGAGACCAGGGAGCCAGCTCTGCTCTTCAAGGCCAGCCCCCCTCAGCTAGAGAGGCCCAGCTGGGCCAGTCAAATTCTTCTCCTGGATGTCCTGCATTGACAGCTAGTTAGCTGTCAATAATACTTTTAGAACTAATAAGAACCAATCAGCTTTGTTTATTTTTCAATAGTTTAAATTAGCATATGTTAATTGATTGTATGAGATAATGATTTCACTTCATTTTTACCTTGGAGGCCAGCCTAGGTTACAGAATAAAATTCTATCTCTATGTTAATAAACAAAATGTTAAAAAAGCATATATATGTGGTGTGTGTGTGTGTGTGTGTGTGTGTGTGTGTGTGTGTGTGAGTGTGTGTGTAAGTGTGTGAGTGTGTATTTCCTTTTTTGTGGTGGTCTGTTTAGCACTTACCTAGCAGAATGTTATCAAATTAGTCAAGTTCTATTCGACATGTAGCCAGCTGAGCTTTCTTCCCTGGCAGAGACTGGTTGAGGCTCCCTTGTCTGTTTCAATTGCCCACTTGTCTGTTGATGGACACTGAGTTTTAACCACTGTGAGCAATACTATTCTGAGTGCAGTCACACAAGCATCTCTGAGACTCAGTTTAGAGTTGCTTGGCTGCAGTGAGCTGGCTCAGGGGGCTACATACCTGCAGTGGGCTGGCTCAAGCAAACTGTGTTCTGTTTCTTAGGTTTTTGAGTACAAGGTTTTCTACTGTAGCTGAACCATAATGTACTCTGGTGTACAAAATGCCTGTAGAGGGCATGGAGTCCTCACACTTGGTGTACAGGGTCCTTGTGCAGGCCATGGGGTCCCCATGCTCCCAGATAAGCCCTAGAGAAACCAGGACTGGCCAGGCAGTGGTGGCACATGCCTTTAATCCCAGCACTCAGGAGGCAGAGGTAGGTGGATCTCTGTGAGTTCAAGGCCAAACCTGGTCTACAGAGCAAGTTCCAGGACAGCCAGGACTGTTACACATAGAAACCCTGTCTTGAAAAACCTATCCATAGAGTCAGGCCTCACCTGAATCCCCCAGGTTCCTGAGCATTGTCAATCACTAGTTTTCTTTTTAATTTTTATATATTTATATTTTATGTATGAACGCTGTGAATGTATACCTGCATGCCAGAAGAGGGCGTCAGATCCTATGATAGGTGTTTGTGAGCCGCCATGTGTGTGCTGGGAATTGAACCCAGGTCCTCTGGAAGAGCAGTCAGTGCTCTTAACCACTGAGAAAGCTCTCCAGGCCCTTTCTTCTTCTTCTTCTTCTTCTTCTTCTTCTTCTTCTTCTTCTTCTTCTTCTTCTTCTTCTTCTTCTTCTTCTTCTTCTTCTTCTTCCTCTTGTTGTTGTTGTTATTATTATTATTATTATTTTGCTTTTTGAGACAGGGTTTCTCTGTGGCTTTGGAGGCTGTCCTGGAACTCGCTCTGTAGACCAGGCTGGTCTTGAACTCACAGAGATTTTCCTGCTTCTGCCTCCAGAGTGCTGGGATTAAAGGTGTGCGCCACCACACTAGAACCCATTCTAATGGAAGAGGCCCCGCGTGCTTTACAAAGGAACCTCTTATTATGCTCATCCCAGACCCTGTCCCACTCCCCCCCAGACCTGTTGCAGGATGTTTGATCACACTGTGAACCCCGAGATTGTGCTATTTACTGGAAAAACCTGTTTCTAGTTGTGGTGTGGCTCAGCCCTCGTATTCACCTTTAACCCAAGAGCTTTCAGCTTGAATAGTGTAAACAGGATTAAGGTCAAGAGGCTGAGCAAGCAATCATTGACAGGAAGGGAACGCAGGATGATTAAGAAAAACCACAGAGAGTAAGGGGGAGTCCGGGGGACAGATAGAGATGCACAGGAAGCAGGCAGAGGGACTTCCAGTTTGAGGAGAATTGTGAGGCGACATAGGAGAATGGAGAGGTTACTGGGACATCAACTGAGGAGGAAGGCCCGCTGGGTGCTTCCTCTGCCTCTCTGACCTTGCAGGCTTTCACCTAGCATCTGGCTCCTAAGTCTTTATTGGTAAAAATCGAATGATTGAGAGTTTGCTAAAAACAACAGAGACCCTTTCCTGAGCATTGTCAGTCAATAGAAACCATTCTTTGGTTGCTTTGGAGTTTTTTTGTTTTTGTTTTTTGAGACAGGGTTTCACTGTGTATCCCTGGATGTCCTGGAACTCACTCTGCAAACCAGGCTGGTCTTGAACTCATAGAGATCCACTGCCTGCCTCTGCTTCCCGAGTGCTGGGATTAAAGGTATGGGCCACCATAACCAGCTGTGATTACTTCTTTTACACGTGAGTCTTCAGTTGTTCTAGCACTGCTTACTGAAAAGACTACTTTTGGGCGGGAGACGTGGCTCAGTGGTTAAGAGCACTTGTTCTTACAGAGGACCTGAGTTCAATTCCTAGCATCCTGATGGCAGTTCACAATTGTCTACAACTCCAGTTCCAGGACGGATATGATACAGGCATACCTGCGAAGCAAAACTTTCATATATATAAAATAAATCGTTTTGGGGGAGGTTGCAAGGGCAGAGGGTAGGTGTGGAGGGAGGGATGGGGAGACGAGCGAGACTGGGGGTGAATGATGTGACTTCACAAAGAATCAATAAAAGTTAAAAAAAAGAAAAGGCTACTCTCCCCAGGGAATAACCGGCAACCTTCTTGAAAAACAAATTGAGGAGAGATATATGGATTTA